AAGACCAAGAGAAGAGGGAGAAGTTATATTTATTTAGCACATATTTTAAGAAAACATTTTTTGTTTGGTAACTTCCATAAATTGGCAGGATTTTCTCGTGGTAAACATAGACATAAGCATGTTTAAATGACTGGTATATATTGAACCGAATGTGCTACTTGTTCTTGCGATCTTCCTTTAGGATGTCACCATGAAGGTTATATCATTCTCTCAACAAGGGCCTAGAGCAATATGCATTCTTTCAGCAAATGGTGTAATTTCAAGTGTTACACTTCGTCAACCAGATTCCTCTGGCGGCACATTGACGTATGAGGTACTACAGCTATTTTTCCCTCTTGCTATGGCTAATCTTTTGATTCATATTTTTTGATGTCATATTTGAAGTGCTATAGGCTTCTGATAATTGCTTCTACGTGTGATATTATTAACTTCTTCTGATAACTCTTGTTTGTATCTAATTTCCTAATCAAAAAGATTTCGGACTCTTCACTTTTATGTAATCAAGAAGTATCAAAAGAACTTAATTGCGTCCTGCCAAACTTTAGGAGTGTCAATATTCCTTCAAATGTGGCTTATGTCCCTTCTGCTTACTAGTTAGCTGCTTGTGAGCTTACTTATCTTCTTTATTCTTATCTTCTTTATTGAAGTAAATAAGATCTTAATCTAGAATCGATGATCGTATTTAGCACAAGTTCAAGTGACAAAGATATATTTAGGCTACTGGTGTTTCTTTCTTAAGAAGTGGCATGGAAGAACTTAAATTTTAGTGAGTACACTGCTCAAAACTAATATTTCATCTAGTTGTATTGCTGATTCTTTTGAAATCCTAGTTCTGGATTACACGCCACATTAGCACTTAATAACATGCAATAATCTATTTTCTTCTCTCTTGGATATTCAAAAAAGGGACCCATTTTAATGTTTTTGTTAAAAAATCATTTCTCCTCTTTCATGTGTTTAGTTAAATTAGGCCTACACTTCGGCCTATTCTTCTTGAACAGATTGAAAATGAAAGATTTTTAACTCTTATCTTTGTTATCGTGCAACGTTAAACTCAAACATTAAACTGGAGGCAATAAGTTCAGTTTAATTTTTTTGTGAAAGTTCAATTCATAAGATTAAGTGGGCGTTTGGACATACGAATTGTAAAATTCCAAAACATGATGAAAAAAATTTTCAAGTGAAAATGGTATTTGAAATTTAAGTTGTGTTTGGACATGAATATAATTTTGGGTTGTTTTTGAAGTTTTGTGAGTGATTTGAGTGAAAATTTTGAAAAACAACTTTTTGGAGTTTTTCAAATTTTCGAAAATTTCCAAAATGCATCTTCAAGTGAGAAATTAGAAATTTTTTGAACAAATGCTGATTTCGAAAAAAAGTGAATTTTTTTTGGAAAAAGGGAAAAATTTCTTATGTCCAAACGGGCTCTAAGTCTACCTATATTTGTAAGTGTAATTCAAAGAGCAGCATCATGACAAATTTTACGAACAAACAGCGCTCAGTGTAATCCACTACTCTTCTAATGTTTTTTGTTCTTGGCGAGTGGGAGGAGATAATTTCTTAACTATGTTACTTGACTTTGACTGACTGACTCGGTAGATACAAATCAGTCAGAATATATGCAGCATACTGGACAATGAATAATCACTCACTGAAGCCTTTAATCTGATTTATTTTACCTCCTTCCCTTTTTCAGGCAAGATGCCTTGCAACTTACAATTTTTATAGGGTTGAGATCTTTCTGCCACTGTAATGTTGGAGCATGTCTTGTGCGATTCATGTGTAACTGTGTCATCTCAACTTCTTAAAACTCTTGTGTTAGCGATTAGTAGTATAGATGACACATGAGTGATGCAACAGATTCATAATTTGAAGCTAAAGCCTTCCTTGTATGGAAAGTTGATGCTACATTCGCTTTATCTATATGTTGTTAATGTAGGCATTTGTGTATAACCTTCCCCTTTCATTGTTCCGTTAGGGCCGGTTTGAGATACTGTCTTTGACTGGATCGTTTATGCCATCAGAGACTGGAGGAATGAGAAACAGATCTGGCGGAATGAGTGTTTCTCTAGCAAGCCCTGACGGACGTGTTGTTGGGGGTGGAGTTGCCGGTCTGTTAGTAGCTGCAAGTCCTGTGCAGGTAGTGATCTGCCTAAACTTAGTTGTCTTGTTTATTCGAGAGTGAATTTATGCTTGTTTGACAAACAAAAGCAGTGTCTTGGATATTCCAGTACTTAGCAAATTACGTATCATACAGTAATTAGGTCGTTTGAATGATGACATTTGGTCTTCTATCTTTGTTGCTGTTAAACAGATTGTCGTTGGCAGCTTTCTTGCTGGAGACCAGCATGAGCAGAGGACCAAGAAAAACAAATCGGATTCCATTGTCACTGCTGTTCCTCTACCGACTACAGAGATGGAAGACCATCCTTATCACTCTTCAGTAAAACAAACTGTGCCAACTTCCTCTTCGTTCCGTGCAGATAATTGGTCAGCTTTGGCTCCCGATTCGAGGAATAAGCCAGCTGAAATAAATGTAACTACTCAACCTGCATAAGGTGATATTTGAATGGATTTTACCTGATTGTGTAAACCACAAGGACTGCATGTCATTTACAAAGTTCCCATTGATCTTTCTCGCGTCTATTTGCTGTTTGTGTGTAAACTTGGGCCAGCATGTCAATTTCCACTTAGGTCTGTGCAGTAATCGGAACTAGTTTAATATAGAGAATTTTTCATAAAGTACCATCTTTTAGGTCTAATTAGTCATTTATAGATACCCTTTGCTATATTACGTGTTATAGATACCTTTTATGTTTTTATACAATGTATTTTATGTATTTAAGCTGTTGTATTCATTAATACAACCAAAAAAATAGGCGTAAAAAGTGGAATTCCAGCTAAGTTTGACATGTATTTAGCGGTATTCAAGCGGCATCAACGTTAAATATAGTAACGTATCTGCGCAAAATCTGGAAGATTAAATTGGTTAAAAACGGAAGGAAATCAAATCACATGATATTCTTAGTCAATTTTACGATGATTATGTGAGAGAAAAGACTAAAAAGGAGAGAGACCACTGCCATGCAGAATCGAGCCGCTACAGTTGAACCAATTGCTCTTCGTCTATCAAAATCAACGAATTAAACTTACCCTAAGCGATTGTAATGGAGTGATAATGGAGGAGAACTAGAGAATTTGGGTGGGAGAAGACGTATAAATCGTGGGTTGAGAGAGAAAGAGTAAAGTGTATGCAAAAAGAGAAAGAACGTGGTTACGATGATTATGTGAGAGAAAAGAGTAAAAAGGAGAGAGAAAAATATTATTTAGCATATATGGTGCCTTAAATGTAGGATGTAACTATAATTAGATATTTAGCTATAAAGTATAAAAGGTATTTATAGGATGTAATATTTTAAAATGGTATTTATTTAAAATAAATAAGATACTAAAGTTTTCTATAGGGTGTAAAAATTCCTTATATAGCCTTTCTTATTTTGGTATTCGGGTGTAGAATTTTAGATATATGATGGATTCCAGAAACGAATCCCATCTTAGTTAAGGGTTTATGTCTAGTTTTAACGGGCATGTTCAACCTCTTCATTTCGTGGCACATTTTTTACTTTGGACCATTTTTATTGTTATTCGACTTTTAGATCTATCCAAATCCCCAATCCATCCACATATGCTCCATATATTAACAATGGCCTTGAGAAAGCAACTGACAGACAAGGCTCTTAAAACATATTTTGGTTTCTGTAATTGTATATATCACAGATTTTATAATTCAAAAAAAAAAAAAAAAAAAAGTTGTTGGAAAGGCGTATAATAGTGTCAATTGTCAAATAGGTGTTTCAGATAAGCATTTTGGGAGAGTAGCCTTTTCTGTTTTGCCAATTCATTTGAGAAGTAGCTTTTCCATTATTTGATAAGTGTGGGTTCTGATGCCATTAACACCGATGAATGGTTCCTATTTTTATGCGGATCGTACGTCCATGTATTCTTCAATGATAGCAGGAGTAAGATCAAAATTTCCAATTTGGTGTTATTAGAGAATTGTAGTAGATCATGACATAAAAAATGGTAAAAATACCATAGCTTGCATCTTGAATATGCATCCGAAGCACACTACTTGATTGATAATCAGAAACGAGAATCTGACAGAAAGAGAAGTACTTATCTTTAATCTTTGTACACATGTCAGCTACTAATGGATTTCTTGCATTCATAATATTAAACAAAGGGAACTAGTCTTGTCAGTTTCAATGTAGAAAGAATTTTTTTTGAAATAAGTAAATCAAAAGAGTACATATGTAGATTGAACAAAATAGCACTGCAAGTCATAGAACCACTATCAGCCATTCCCTTTACAAGGCATATGAACTAACCAAGACCCGCAGTCGTATCCTTTCGTGGAGCATCCGCCTTAATACGGGGAGGCCTAACTATACGGTCTATAAGACCATATTCAAGAGCTTCTTGAGCATTGAATCGCTTCATCCGACTTAAATCCTTGTGAACCTGCATATTTCCAATAGATGGAGTTACAACAATCAACACTTTTGATATGCAGAGATCAAATTTACTCATCACACCTTGCCCAAATTGTAAGGAGAGTCCATTCAAAGGCAATAAGGCTAGGTGGTTAACTATTGCAACTAATACTTTTAGGTGGAGACTCATTTTGAATCAAAGTGTGAGCCTTTGAGGGGGTATATACCTTAAAACAAAATATCTAAATTCAGATGAAGGCAATATATACCTTTTCAACAGGCTGGCCTGTCTTCTCAGCCAACTCCTTGAAAAGGTAATCTCTAATTCTGAGAAGTTCATCTGCTTCATTACGGATATCATCAGCCTGCCAAATATGAAATTGTATAAGTATGTAGTCTCGGAAAAGTCATCAAAAACAAGCATTTCATTCCAAAATGCCATGGAGACAAACCTGTCCGCGTGCAGCTCCAGCAGGAGATTGTAGTGCAATCCTTGAAAGAGGCATTGCAAATCGATTGCCCTTCACAATGGAAATTTGTCAAATTAACATTGAGCTTTAGTTGCCTTTCCACAGTTAAATAAGGTCTTATCTTTACAACAGGAGGCACAATCAAATCACTAACAAAAGAAACTGGCCAAAACAAAGAATCCTGGAGAACTTTTTCCCAAGAGTGTTTGCCACTATTATATCATCTTCTAAAATAAGTAGAGATGATAATTAAACATGTCTATCTATATGTCATTGTTTGTCGTCTTTGCATCAATAGTTCTCATCACAAAAGGGTGCGCAACCAAATGGGATAAATTGCCACTGTCAAGTATGGAATGTTACCGAAGTGATTATAGTCCCAATGAGAAGTGACTGTTAGCTTAAGTTTGGACATGGATCTTAGCTAGCCCACAGGAAACAACTATTTGCAGTTCCTTGTTTGGTACACCGTTTTGTGATGCTCCAATAATTAACCAGGTGGTACAGCCTCAGTAGAGAAGCATAACACTGAACAAGGATATACGACGGGTTCCATAACTTGACCCTCAAATTTCGGTTCAACCCCAACCCCAATAATTCCGAGGTTTGACTGCACATTAGAATATAGGATCGCAACTCTAGATGGAGGCCTTTGGAAAGAGACAAGACCAACTCATAATCAGGCAAATAAACCTCTACGCTAAAATAAGATAAAATGAACTCTTATAAAATACAGTTCTTTGGGATGCCATCACAAGTGGCTGATACTGGCAAATTTCTTTACATGTCAAATTTGAAGAAAGAAATATAACCAAAATACGGAACACGCCAATATATCCAGACAAGTCAATCCCATCTTTGCATAAAATAACCAGGCGCAAGCAACTCCGAAAGCTAGTCTACGCAAGACATTGTCGATAAGCACAAGGTTTTTTCCCCACATTTCATCACTAGGAGAGAACTACAGTACCTTTTCTCCAGCAGCAAGAAGAAAACCGGCAAGATTGTAGGCATAGCCCACACAGTGGGTGCCAACAGCACTTTTCAGACTTTGCATTGTGTTGTAGATGGCTATGCTCGGAGTTAGCTGTAAATAGAAATAACATTAAGCAAATAACAAGAAAAAAGAAAGCAGTCTGAGCACAAAATTAAGAAGAAAAAAGAGATGTTTCTAATAAAAGAGGAAACTTTGACTACAAAGTATAATTAGTAAAGAACTCACATCACCACCAGGGCCATTGATATACAGGTAGAGCTTCTTGGAATCATCAATACTGTCAAGGTACAACATTGTTGCCAATATCTGGTTGCTAAATTCTTCATCTATATGTTGTCCGGTGAAAATAATACGTTCACGGTACTGCAGCAGAGAATTCAGTGATATTTTCCCAGATCAAAAGTATTGATTATTAATCCAATTAGCCAAAGGAGAAACAAAGGTACTTTGAAACTGAAAACATGTTATTTACAAGAGCATTCCACAAATCAACCCACTGCCATGTTCCCTCAGTTGGATTTCTGTAGGGCACCCTTGGTGTCCCAATGGGCATCATGGAAACTCGTGCACGCTCTGGTTTACTGTTTCTAGTTCTGGAAGTATGAACTCTGGGTTAGGTTACAAACACAAGCAGCAGCCAAATGAAACTCGAGAAAAAATATACAAATTTCTATCCAAAAGAAAATGGAGATTTTACTCAATAAAAGATGGGACATAGTCCGAATGGACAATATCTAGTAATGAAATTAAGAACAGGAGAACACGCAAGGCACAGGCTTGTTAGTGACTATCAATTAAGAATGAGGCAAGTGCTACACCTCATTGATATTTGCTGACATCTCTTTTTATTTGTGGATAAAGTAGTTTAAACGTTCTGACTTAAACTATGGAAAGATTTGATATTTGATAGTACACATAAACTATGCTGACTTAGTGAAAGAGTGCACAGAGATTTAAGTGTCAGATTTGGATGCGAAAGGAGTTTAGGAGAAAGTTGGAGACTTGAGCTCCTAGGGGAGAGAGTGGGAATTGAGTGAAAAGACCTGGCAAGTCAAAGCAACAAGTATAGTTGGACAACAATGAACAGGCATAGAATCGATGAAATAAACAGACCAAAATCGCTCATCCAACTCTCTTCGCTGCACATTTGGGGCGATGATACAGAGAAACAATTTGGAGGATTACAAGTAGAGATTGAGAGGAACTAAGGATTTTGGGAATATTTGGTACTTTGAAGAAGAGGGACCAAAAGAATAAATGTGGAAGACTGAGAAAAGATGGCGTGAGCTTTGGAAAAAAGAAATTCAAAGATAGAACCAAAAAGACAACAACAACAACGGCCCAGTGAAATCCCACTAGTGGAGTCTGGGGAGGGTAGTGTGTACGCAGACCTTAACCCTACCCCGAGGGGGTAGAAAGGCTATTTCCGATAGACCCTCGGCCCAAGAAGACGAAAAGAGACAACATATCAGTACCATCAATAAAAACCATAGAAAGAAATAACAACATCCCAAGAACCAGAAAATAGATGAAAAGCAAAACAAGGTTGACAAATGAGAAGGCTTGAGTGTGAGATTAACAATTCAACAGCAAAATGCAGAGATTAAACAAAGCTTAGCAAAGTGAAGGATAGCTCCGCACATGTAATCGTTGAGTCATAACCTATATGCTAAGTTCTTCTTAGTAAATTTTACAATCCACGTGTCAAATAGTATTGTTTTCCGGGTACTAGGCCTTCCCGTCTTGTCCACAAAGCATTTTCAGTTAGTAGCTGGGGGCAAGGAT